CATTCAAGCCGCCTTTGGCATCAGACCTAAAATGTATTGGAGTCGGTCACTCCAACAGAAAAATTAGAAAACTTTCTGGCATCCCTATGCGATCTTGCACAATATTGCAAGCGGTTTCCGTTGCCTTCCCGAGTGTAAATCGCGTGAAATGTTCTGTGTAGCTCATCCAACGTAAAAGATTAAACGTAAGAGCCAGCGCTCTAGAAATTTATTTGGCTATAAACATTAATATCTATATCTATTCTATACCATTAAGAGAACACTCCTTGTCACCCTTTGTTTCTTATTTTGCCCTCACTTTTGTTTGATACACACTATTGACAAAGGGAGGGCAAAATAGTAATTTTGTACCTTTTGACAATATGACAATCATATCCTTATTTTTTCTAATTTTACCCTTAATTTTGATACACAATATTTACATAAAGAGGACAAAACACTAATTATGTAATATTAAAAAAAAATATGCACTTATTAAGAGAAATTGTTTACACACAAAAAATATGTGCTCTCTGCTAGTTGAATTTAAAATAATAATTAAAACATTTATCACTCGCTACACGAGCTTACATATGGTCGTAACCAATGTCTAAAATATCGATGATATCAGAAATATCGGTAGTCCAAAAATACGAAAATTTCGATGGAAATATTAGGATATTATCGATATCGATAAAAATTGAATAAAAACCACGGAAATTGTAAGAAAAACATGGAAATTTTTATTGAAACTTTGCAGGATGTTTATTTAGTCGATTATCTATTAGTTTATCACAAAAAAATTAGAAGGAAATGCATTGCATGCTGGATTTAATTGATTTAAGTTGATTATATAGCGAGCTGGCAAATATTGTGTGTGTAGAAAATATGTAGTAATTAATGAAAGAAATTTAAACACACCATAATCATTTATATATAATGAATTAGTACAATATTTTACACTTTATACATTGCATGGTAAGATACATGAGTGACTTAGTACCACATAGAGTTCCTATCAAGGTCTAAAATATCGATCATATCGGAAATATTGGTAGTCTAAAAACACGAAAATTTCGATGAAAATATCAAAATAATATCGATATTTTAGACCTGGGTCGTAACGCATAACAGAAATAAGGAGCTCTTAACAGAAGTTGTAGCATTTTCTGATAAAATTTAATTTAAAATAGAGAGCATACAAATCACGAAACCAACACTTTTCAAGCCATCATGAACTGCATTAATTAACAAAGTGGTAGTCCATTTCAATAATTTGGACGGATACTCAAAGTCATACAAATATGCATGTAATTTGATATTTTAATGGTTAGGATGTTGAATTTTTACACATGCATTATAGTTGGTTCAAAATTCTTCATCTCCTAAATTATTGTAATAATTTCGAATCCACTCTCTCCCTTTACTAATAATAAATTAAAAAAAGTCTTACAAATATAAGAAAATATTATTAACATCAATCATGAATTATGAGCTGGATGATAGAAATATAAGCGGTAGTCAATTTCCACTTCAATCGTGAACTGCATTATAAAAATATGTCCATACAAATATAACAAAATATTATTGACATCAATCATGAATTATGAGCTGCATGATAGAAATATAAGCGGTTGTCACTTCAACCATGAACTGCATTATAAAAATATGTCCAAAAGGTTATTGAGAAAAATGTTTCTTTTGATATATTATTGACACTATACCAACACTTTTTAAACACTCCTATTTGATTGATAGTGGATTATTGGGTGAGCTCTTACTGCTTCGAGGACTTACTCTAGTTACACTGACTGTCGAAGAATCTATTTAAATCTTGGTGTCTTTTCTATTTTTGTTCTTGTATTTTATTTAAGGGATACTTTAGATGCGGTCCCTATCTATCAATATTCTTTAATTGAAACCTTATTAATTTTTAGTTTTTGATTGAGGTCTCTGACATTAATGTAATCATGTAAGTTACTATATATTTTTTAAATTAAAAATTAAAAATTGAAATTTGTAATTGTTTATATTAATGAGATTTTAAATAAAACCCATAATTTATGGGATTAAAAATAATAAAATATAAATTATACTCTTTATTATATTGTGTGTGTGTGTGAGTGTGTACATATATGTATGGGTACATTAACCAAAATTAACAAAAAAAAGTTATTGTACCAAAACATGGATACATTCTCAAATCAACCAAAAAGAATGTACCCATATAAGTTTAAACATGGATTAAAAAATTTGAATGGATTTTATATTAAAAAAGGGTACATTTTACATATAACAAATTGATATATTTGAGAATGGGTACATTTAAGATTAAAAAATTGAGAATCTTTTTATATATAAAAAAAAACTAATAGGTACAAACTTAATTTAATTTAATTTTTTATTATTTTGGAAATGTTTGAATTGAAAATTAATTAGAAGTTTAATAGAGGTGTGAGTATTAAACCCTAAATTAATTACTAATTTTTATATTAAAAAATTATATAATAAACATGTAAATTCATTATCACATTAATACTAGGGACTTGAATCAAAATTTGAAAACTAATAAGGTTTTAGTCAATGAACAGTAAGAACTAGGGACCGGATACTAATTTTTCCTTTATTTAATATATATCATGTGGGTTAGTTTGAGTTGGCTTTCAATTGGTTTGGTGCTATCCTAGAACAACACCCACCTTTTGCTGATCTGCGTTAGCCGGCTCCTCACCTATGAGGCACAGACTGCGTCTCCATCCTTCCTCTGATGCCCCTGCTTTGCTCGCTGCCCAAAAATATCTACCCACTATGGGCTCAGAAGGAAAATGATTCTCGTCGGATCCTTTTTTTTAGAGATCCTAGGGATTCCGTGATTGTAATCGTTCATTGTACATCGTGTGGTCAGTTTTCGTTAGGTACTATTTATATTTTAAATTTTGAAATGATTTCTGACCACACGATGCACGATGAACGATTACGATCATGAAATCCCTAGGAAAAGGATCCGGCAAAGGTCGCGGATTCCTTTTCCCTTGCAGAATACCGCAATCGGCTTCCATTGCCACCCAAACCTCGAATTTCACTGACTGTATTGTGTAACTCATCCAACATAAAAGACCCACCGTGGAGAACTGTTTTATGAGGGTTCAGGAGCCCGATGACTAGTGGTCTCTGAGAAAATAATGTGTAACATCATTAAGCCCCAAATGCAATGAGCAATAATGTGTACATAATATGAACATGATTACAAGCACTAAGTGATTTTCATAGAATTAATGAAAGCACTTATCATTTTCTTCCAAGATAATAATGGTTGGTAGAATGAAAGCACTCATCATTTTCTTCCAAGATAATAATGGTTGGTACTTGTAGCGGAGAAATTTTTCAGTGTGACCGGTACACGGGGTGGTACATCACATGTCACTATATAAATGGTGAGATATGTGTTTTAAAATGTTAATAGCTTAAAAAATAAAATTTCTCACCACTTATATAAAAACATGTGATGTACCTCTCGTGTTCCGGTCACAATAAAAAATTTCTCCTTGAAACGCATAGTGGAGGTTGAAGTTCTGGAGAGATTTTTTTAGTGTATCCGAAATACGAATACATACTTCATATGTCATCATACAAGTGGAGGGGCACTTGGAAAAATTAAAAAACTAAAACTTCCCCCTAATTGTGTAATGACATACACCTTGCTGCTCTCTGGACACATTGAAAAATCTCTCGGAAGCTTTGAGGTATGGCCAGGGCCAGTCTAGAGATTTTTGAGGCCTAGGGTGATGCCAAAAAATGTGCCCTCACTTTATATAAGAAAATTATTTGTTTTCACACGTAAGACATTGATAAAATTATAATTAGAAAAGTACTTCAAACTTAATAATTTATAAACACGGAACCTTGTCAATATTAGACTAAAAAAATAATGATGTTTTTGAGTCTTTAATTAATATGTATAAGTAATAAATGGGTACTAAATTAATTTTTTTAATGACACGTCATATTATTTGCAAATTTGGTCAACACATGATTTTTTGTTGAAGATTAGACTTGAATTGGAACAAATGTTTAAAAATAACAATCTACATAGCTACTAGCTACTAATTAAAATAAATTAACAACCAAACAAAAATTCGTAAAAATTGAAAATAATAAACATGCACTTAGCATTTCGAACATAGGACCTCTCGTTAATTTTAAATAACAAAAATCGTTGCTTTTAATTAAACTTCTTGATCATTTAGTCAAATTTTATATATTTATACTCTTATGATGAAAAGAAATTTGTAAAAATTGAAAAATAAATAAGCACACATGCGTTTTGAACCCAATACCTCTTCATTAATTTCAAACAACAAAACCACCAATTCTAGTTCAATTTCTTTGTCATTGAACCAAATTTTATAGATTTATAGTCTTATGAAAACATATATAAATATATCACTCTAATAATTTTGATGCTCCTAATTATTTTGAACCCCGAACGGTCGCCCTGACAGCACTGGCCTGGGCGGCCGTCCCTGGGTATGGCTGTTAATTGGCATGATTGATAGTAATAAAGTTCTACCGCATGCATTCTTATCTATATGAGTGTGGATCGAGGTGTTGCAGCCTTTTATGCGACTTAAACTCGACTGAATATCGACAAAATGCCAGTTGACATGGTTATTAATGACAGATCAAGCAAAAAGAAAGGAAGGACCAAATTGGCAAGAAACAGATCCGCAGCCTTCAATGACTGTATGCTCAATAATTTCCGGTTGCCGTGTTGCATTGAACTCACTCATTGACTTACCTTGTATACCTAGGTAAAACATTAATAAAAATTGCTGGGTATATATTTTTTAAGGTTCCGATCTATATACTATATATACACAAGGGAAGGTGATCATTTATATATTCGTCCATTAAAAACATAGTTAAGTTTCTATACACAGGTCTCTCTGTCTCTCTCTCTCCCCTTAAAGTGATGATATAAATATATATATTGTGACTTATAGATTGCATGCATGCAACAGGTGCTTTATAAGAAGGAAGAAATAAAGAATATTGAAGAATGTGGAAGCTTAAGATTGCAGATGGTGGCAATGATCCATACATCTACAGCACAAACAACTTCGTGGGAAGGCAGATATTTGAGTTTGATCCTGAAGCAGGAACTACTGAAGAGCGAGCTGAGGTGGAAGAAGCTCGTCTTCATTTCTACAATAACCGCTATCAGGTTAAGCCCAGTGGTGACTTCCTATGGCGAATGCAGGTATGCTTTAGTTCGTCCAAACTTATGTCGTCAATTAGTTTACGCAACGTAAACGGTAAACCATTTTTCTAATGAATGTGAGTTCTAGTTACTTGGTTTCACCGATGCAGTTATTTATTAGAAGCAATTAATACTTGTGTCCACTTGCCTATTATCCACCCACTTATTATTAACGCACCATACAATAATCAAAGACATTATTTTACTTTTCCACATTATTTAAAGATCATATTTATAGAAAATCAATCAATTTGGAGATTATTTAGTTATTTATATATATATCAAACATAATCAACGATCTTGGTAATAATTTATCAATCATCCATTCATTTGATGCGTATGAGCGACTAAATGTTCTCTAACTTAATTGATTTTTAGAATATAAAGTGAATAAACGTAATTCTAATAATGAAGTTTGTATGTAAAAAATGCGTTAACTACAAGTGAACAAGTACACCCATAAAATATTCTCTATCATGAATGACATGCAATGAAGCTAAGAAGATAAAATGAGGAAGCCCAATATAGCGTATGACGTGTGTATATAAAATCCACAAGTTCCATAACAAGCTAGCATGATGCTCGCGTGTTCCTTGAATGCACCATAACATACTCTAACCACCCAAAGACCCAAACAATATCCTTCACTTAAAAATGCATAGAGAGGAGACAATGTGAATAGCGTTGGACCCTTATAAGTTTTAACTTTTGATCTATGGGGAGTAATTTCATTTCTCATAATCTGTTTGTATTGGACTTTTATTTTTATTTTTAAAGTGAAATAATTTGAGGAGGAGAGAAAATATTACTTAAGAAAGAGTAGTCACCGTTAGACTTATTATTTTGGGAGTTGTTGCAAAAGGTTTACTCATTTGTTACTCAGTTGATTAATGGTATCCATCATGGCATTCGAACTTTTAATTAGTTTAATTTTTCCACCTTAATTTTTTTTTTTTGTATAAACATATTAGCATTCTACATATGTTATCTTGCACTTACCGAAGTATATTTTCTTCCTTGGTTTTATGAAGGAGTGCGATTGATATTTGTGAAGTACAAATAACATCTTTATTTTAATTGATTTTCCTCTTGCCACTTAATACTAGGATTAGTAATATTCTTATTCACTTAAAATTGACTCTTGTGATATGGATACACACAAAGTGTGTGAGAAAATTTTTTATTTTTTATTTTTTTGAAATAGAAGGAGAGAGAAAGAGAGTGATAGAGAATGTGGGAACGAGAAGTTTTTTTATTTTATTTATATCTTTATATTTTTATTTAATTCTTAATTAGAGATATATTAGGATTACATGTAGGTGAGGTTTTGAAAAAAAAAACAGCAAAATTTGGTTGTGTGAAATTAAATTTTTACCCCATATTTCTTATTCATGTTATGTTTTAATTAGATGGTTAAATTGGTAATTTCATAAGATTTTGGTTGACAATGAGTGTTTTATTAATTAGTAGAGATATAAAATCAGATTTTTTGTCTGTCTTGTTTCTTGTGCAAAGTTTTCATTTTCCTATATGATGGGCATCACCAATAAATCTTTATGGTTTATTTAAATTTAATTAATTATAATATCATCATCATAAATTTGTTTAATCATAACTTCAATCCTCTCATTAGTATCGCACTTAATTATCTGTTCACTTATCGGCAGTTCCTAAGGGAGAATAACTTCAAACAAACAATTCCCCCAGTTAAAGTTGAGGATGGAGAGGAAATCACACATGAAAAGGCCACAGCTTCATTGAGAAGGTCTGTCCACTTCTTTTCAGCGTTGCAGGCTAGCGATGGCCATTGGCCTGCCGAAAATGCCGGCCCGTTGTTTTTCCTTCCTCCTTTGGTCAGTATTTAACATTGTCACCATTTACTATCATGTTATATACCCACGCAATGCCCTACTTATATTAATGGATAAATTGACACCAGCTTCTTAAAGTTTACGAGGTCACGTTTTGAACCCAATGTATATGAGTAATGCTAGGTAGATTAACTTTTTAGACCTATTTGTAAATCATGTTATGTGTTACTAAAAGAAAATAAGCAGTACTAATCCAATCTTTAACGACTATGTCTTATGGTTTAAATAGATAATCTCTCTAGCATCACCCCAATGTATATGGGAGATTAAATTTCTAGACAAAATTTGCAAACTAAATGATGTGTCACCAGTAGAAATGAGGACGTTTATCAACATAATCCAATGATCAATTTTCATGTTATTTAATTTACAAAATTTTATCTACGAATTTAATATCCCTAGCATTACTCTAAATATAGTCTTTCAACTTTCAAAATTTGAGAGGAATTACTAAGTTTCTCTATGACTACACAGTTTACACCTAATGTCAACTTTAAAAAAATGTGCAACCGACTATGAAAATATTTTACTTGCAATCCCATGTTCCCATTTTGGGGCTTAAAAATAACATATTTTCTCGAGTTTTTACCTAACTCCAAATATTTGGGGTTTTTATTAATTGCTTCTTCCAATTTTTTACCCAAAATTTGCAGGTCATGTGTGTTTACATTACAGGGCATCTTAACACTGTATTCCATGCAGAACACCGTAAAGAAATTCTGCGTTACATATACTATCATCAGGTACATATATATACATTTTGTTATTTTTTCACACAAATTGGATAAAATTAAAAAAAATTCACAATGTGCTTATTTGTCTTAAACTACTTACAAGGGTTGCAGTTAAGTTGGCCAACAGTTTTCATTTCTGCATCCAAAATCCCGCTTGTATAAATAAAAATACTGAATAAATAATGCTAATTAATATGCATTAATGTTTTGGGTAATTCAGAACCAAGATGGTGGTTGGGGATTACACATTGAAGGACACAGCACCATGTTCTGCACAGCTCTCAGCTACATTTGTATGCGTATTCTTGGAGAAGGACCTGATGGTGGCCAAGACAATGCTTGTGCAAGAGCTAGAAAGTGGATTCTTGATCATGGCAGTGTTACCCACATCCCCTCATGGGGTAAAACTTGGCTTTCGGTATGCCTATCTGCAGCACTAAGACAAACTGCTTAGGCTCTTGGTTAACTGTTGTTCTTAAATAGCACTATCACTATAGCAAATTGTCTAACATATTGGTAATTTACACATGCCATATATAACCGAATTATTTGAGATTATTCGTTATTGATAACAGGTCAATATCGACAATATATAAAGATGTATAGCTGTTAATGATAGCGGATCAATATTAACAAAATTAACCTTATTGTTGATACACTCTATAATAGTGGTGACCCCCTACTAAAATTTACCTCTGTTAGTGTGCAATCTAAAAGAAAAAGAAAAATGCTATAAATTCATATTTGACTCCAAACTAGTAATGTAAGTTATACCATATATATCCAATGCATACATAATCAAATAATTATTTAAACTTTTAGCTTTTGTTCAGTAGAGAAAGATGAAGTGAAATTTAGAATTAACTATTACTTTATATCTTCTAAAGGTGGAGTCCCACCTTTTAACTAGATTAAGTCAAATATGATTTTACATATGGCAGACCAAAATCTTATATAACCTTAACTATTTCGGTTTATTAAAGAGTGATTGAGTCATATTTGGCATTGAGAACACTACTATTATTTAAGAGGGTTTCCCCTTTTAATTAATCTTGCTCAGTTGATTCTTGCAGATACTTGGTGTGTTTGAGTGGTCCGGAAGCAACCCAATGCCCCCAGAGTTTTGGATTCTGCCTTCATTTCTTCCCATGCATCCAGGTTAGCACAATTCCGGACTCCACTAGTACAAATAATTCAGTCTTTCACATGTTGATAGGTTTAATTAGTCTCTCTTTACCTATAGTCTTCTTTTTTAATATCTTCTACATCATGCAAATGCAGCAAAAATGTGGTGCTACTGTAGGATGGTTTACATGCCTATGTCATACTTATATGGGAAAAGATTTGTTGGTCCAATCACACCTCTCATACTACAATTAAGGGAAGAACTCTATGCTCAGCCTTATGACGAAATTAACTGGAAGGGAGTGCGTCATCACTGTGCTAAAGTAGGTTGAACTTGAACAAGATGGCTACTTAGTCAATTTTTTTCTTGTTTAGGTACATAAACTGATTGCGGTAATTTGAATGCAGGAGGACATCTACTACCCTCATCCTTGGATACAGGACTTTCTATGGGATAGTCTGTACATATGTACGGAGCCTCTTCTTACTCGCTGGCCATTTAACAAGATGATCAGGAAAAGGGCTCTCGAAGTAACAATGAAGCACATTCATTATGAAGATGAAAACAGCAGATACATTACCATTGGATGTGTCGAAAAGGTGTTATGCATGCTGGCTTGTTGGGCTGAAGACCCAAATGGTGATTATTTTAAAAAGCATCTTGCCAGGATACCAGATTATTTATGGGTTGCTGAGGATGGGATGAAGATGCAAGTTAGTACACATTTTGTTAATACAGTATATGATACGATGATTTGTTCTTTACCCTTTTCTCTGTTGCAAAAGTTTACTCTTCTAAATTATTGGAAAACATTATAAGTTGATACATTTTCTGAATACGTGCAGAGTTTTGGCAGTCAACAGTGGGATACTGGTTTTGCCATTCAAGCTTTGCTTGCTTCCAATCTAACCGATGAAATAGCACCCACACTTGCTAGAGGACATGACTTCGTCAAGAAATCCCAGGTTCGTTTTTTATATAGTCAACTGAACTTTCATTTTTGGTAAAATGTATATGTGCATCGATTAATTTGTTCTAACTAGTGACTGTTTTGGAATCGAATTGTAAAGGTTAAGGACAATCCATCGGGTGACTTCAAAAGCATGCACCGCCACATTTCCAAAGGATCGTGGACTTTCTCTGATCAAGACCATGGATGGCAAGTTTCTGATTGCACTGCAGAGGGTTTAAAGGTAACAAATACTTCAACTTAGTTATCCACCTTAAATGCTATTTCCATTTTTCTCACCATAATCCCCTGTACAGTGTTGCCTGCTTTTATCGATGATGCCACCGGAGCTGGTTGGTGAAAAAATGGAACCTGAGCGGTTATACGATGCTGTCAATGTCCTAATTTCCCTGCAGGTACAACTATTATGTCAGTCAGTCATATATATGAGTACGAGTTGCATTTTGTTTCCCTGCCGTAATCAAATTTTGGATCTAATGCATGGCTGCCTTAGTTTAAAAACCTTAAAAAACTTGTAGCGTTTGAAGACATTTGTTCTTCACTGCAAGGTCTATCAGGTCTCTCTACTCATTACAAATCTCATTTTATGGCTCATTGTAGAGTAAAAATGGTGGTTTAGCAGCCTGGGAACCAGCTGGAGCAGCAGAATGGTTAGAAGTAAGAATTTTAAAGAATTGGAGTAATGTTGTTGAACTTAGTTAGGTGTGTAAGAAACTAAAGTCTTTTAAGGCATTCTTAATTAGTATATACTTACTGGATATTCTCACTACTTTTTTTCTCCCCAGATGTTGAATCCCACAGAATTCTTCGCGGACATTGTTGTTGAGCATGAATATGTTGAATGCACTTCATCAGCAATTCAGGCTTTAGTTTTGTTTAAGAAGTTGTACCCTGGCCACAGGAAGAAAGAGATAGATCAATTTATTACCAATGCTGCACAGTACCTTGAAAATATACAAATGGAAGATGGTTCATGGTAATATCATATTATTAAATCAAAAATTTGATTTCTTTGATTAACAACTATAGCTGAGAAACAACTTAGTTAAGAAACATTTGCACAGGTACGGGAATTGGGGAGTTTGCTTCACATATGGTACCTGGTTTGCTCTTGGAGGGTTAACAGCTGCTGGCAAGACTTTCAACAACTGTGAAGTTATACGCAAAGCTATTAATTTTCTACTCGCAATCCAGAAAGAGAACGGTGGTTGGGGAGAGAGCTACCTTTCATGTCCAAAAAAGGTAAAATATGGGAGGTGGATTATGTTTGAAGCTAGCTTCAAGTTTCTTAGTTAAATATCATTGTCTTAGACTAAAAATATTTCACTCTGTGGTGGGTGATACAGGAGTACGTTCCTCTTGAAGGAAACCGATCAAATTTAGTACACACAGCTTGGGCTATGATGGGTTTGATTTATGCCGGACAGGCCGAAAGAGACCCCGCACCTCTTCATCGTGCAGCAAAGTTGATAATCAACTCTCAGATGGAAAATGGTGATTTTCCTCAGCAGGTATCTTGCTTACCCTATCCTTAACATCTATTCCAAACAACATAAAAATATTTCCCCAACCTTACTTGCATTGCAAGCTTGATTAGTAAAAAGGATGAAACACAAAATAACATATCGTGTTGCGTATACGTACGCTCAAATTTTTACTTGCAACGTTTTATAACATCTATTCACTAATCATGTATGGCAGGAAATCACTGGAGTGTTCATGAAGAATTGTATGCTACATTATGCAGCTTATAGAAACATCTACCCCCTGTGGGCTCTTGCAGAATACCGCAAGTGGGTTCCATTGCCTTCCAAAGCGTGATTAGGCTCTCTGTATCGTGTAGCTCTTACATGCAGCATATATTAATACGCATAAAAGCCAGTTGTTGAAATTATGTATTATACCAAAAGTATATCAATCAGATGAGGAAGTAAGATTTACCTATTTGGAAATCAGAGAAATTATACTTCTTCAAACAGAAAATATACAAAAAGTGTATCAATCAGATGAGGAAGTAATTTATTGATAATGTTCTTGTAGTGCATTTTTCATAGTTTAGAATAAAAGGCCCACAAACTTTGAAAGTCCCTCAAGCATAAGGCAAACAATCAAAGAAACACATCAAATTTCTCATCCCTCGGCAACTTTCCCAAAATGCAAATAAAGTTGTCTTGAGGCCACATATATAACTATGCTAATCACTATACTTAGATTAGTGCCACAAATATCTGTTTACTTGGATATTGCAGAAGAAACTTTGAAGTCAAGGATGGTGTGCTGGATCTGGAGTACTTCTCATTGATGGGATTTATCCGTCTGATTCTGCTTCCTTTATTTATTTTTGCAATGATTTTTATCATTTTATTGTTGGTGGAGCTGGGATATTGAAGACTTAGTTAAATAAGAACGTTTTGTACATAAAACGTGTGACATAATCAAATTAGCTAGAGCTGGAATGTTGGTGCTGCAGCGCGCAACCAGTGACCCGACTTTGTTTCCCTAGAATAAAATTGATGCCCTGAATTCATTTTTTGGTCCATTCAATGAGATTTCATTGTTTGAATCTAATTTCACAAAGGGCATCCACTTGATCTTTGTGGTAGGCAAAGATTCGATCGTTGGATCGTCATGAAATTATAGTATGTTGACGTGTGACTAATGTGAGGCTCTTAGGAATTCACGAATATGAAATCCGTTGTGGGGATCTTCCTGATTGGATTACGTAGGCTTGTTGACCAACCGGTCATGACCATGCTGATCGAGGGTTGAATTTTGGTTAACATATCCCGAATCGTTCTGAAATGCTAGAATTAGCATTACTTGAGACTTGGTAGAGCCCAGTGGGCCTATCTTGGTTAACAATTCATCCTAGGGCATGTGCACCTCGGTTTAACTGTAAATGACGCCTTACTGAGATTTACGTGCTTATTGGGCTACTAGATGAGTTAATGACATGTGCGAATGCCAGTAGGAGGAGATGGGTTGGGAATCATGTTAGAATTATCCTGTAGAACTTGTATGTCTGTGCGACTAGATATCTATTGTTACGTTGAACCAATAGTGTGTGTGTGCTTACACTTGTGATTCATACGGATTGATGTAAGAAGTGGTTTGTATGAGGTATGTATGTGTGATGTGTGATTGTGTGACTGCGCCAAATAGTAGTGTGGTATATGGATGATCGTACCTGTTAATCCGTATTAGAAGACCATATGAATTCTATGGATGACTCTACCTAGTTAATCTACATTGATAGGTAACTGTCTACTTGATTACGTGGTTTCCATAGGTGGTCATGCATGGTTAATCTGCATTGGGGGACTATACTGTTAGATGCATGCCTATGGAACTGCCTAGTTAATCCACATTGAAGGACCATAAGCATTATAGGAATAGTCCTATTTAGTTAATCACATTGGGGAACCATACTATTATATCATGGATGGTTATGCCTGGTTAATCCTCATTAAGAATTCATATATGCATGACTCTGAATTGTTACGCATTGGGGGTCACTACCTACTTAGTTACATCGTTCTATAGGTAGTTATGCCTAGTTAATCCGTATTAGGGGACCACACTATTGGATGCTTGCCTATGGTCCCGCTTGGTTAATTTGCATTGGAAGGTTTTACGAATCCTAGGGATTGTTTCGTTAAGTGGATCAGGAACCCACCACTGTCTAGATTACGTTGAGTTGGTCTAAAGTACCACTTCCTATTCGGTTGCATTGTGTTGGTCCAAAACCTTCCTCTGTTTGGATTTATTTGAGTTAGTCTGGAATTCCATTTTTATTCGATTATTTGAAGTTTGTCTGAAACCCTCATCTGTCTGGATTCATGAATAAAAGTTTCTCAAGGTGTACTCTTGTATTTGTAACTTGAAGTTACCATAATATATCTTGGAATCTATGTAGAGAAATACAGAGGTTGGCTTCATTTAACTTTCGTGAAATGATATTTGATCTTATTATTCATTAATGTGGTTAAACGTTAATATTGTGCATCTTTGGTTCACTAAAATGTGAATTATTGTTTGAAAAAATTATGATATATGCGGAAAATTAAATGATATATTGGAGCATCACTCACATTAGGAGTTGTCTGGAACTCTATGTTTTCAGCTAGTTAATGCCATGATAAATTTCGGAGCCAAACAAAATGGTGACCTGTGAATGGCTTGATCCCGTCTTATGGTACATAAGAAGTTTAACACAAAGGTTAAATGCAATCACAAAGTAAGGGGAATTGGTATTACGTTGTTGAAACGTTGGTTTAGTTTTGGTCATATCTCTGAAGCAAGGCAAGATAGTTAAACAAGTACGTTGTGGCGTCACGTGCCAATCCTTGATGTATCTCGAGATCGAGGCTTGACATCTGCCACGCAGACAACCAAAGCCCGAAAATATTTTGCTCTCTTAAATGCACATGTATGAGTCATCTGATATGTTGATGTCATTAACGCCATTGTGTAAACTGGCTCAAGACATAATTGAAGGCCACCAACTACGAATTACGATCATTGTCAACACCAAATGACATATCTAACCCTGCTCTAACACAACGATATGATCGAGGTTGCTCATTCTTCGTTGCCTACAATAGAACTCATTGTTCTAAAGGCAATGCTATGTGACTGGTCACCGCTCCGATTAATACCTAGGCGTTTGAAAATTAAGAAAAGGCACCTAAACCTGCTAAGGCACCCACCTAGACCGCATAAGTACCCACCTAGACCCACCTAGGTTGCAACTCACTTAGACAGAAAATAGATAACTTTCATTTTGAATTTTATTTTTTTCAATAAATTGTAAGAGACTTGTTGAATACTTAAATGATAGGCTTGTTCCCCATGTTTTCATTATGTTCCAATACTTCATAATATATATGTCATTCTATTTTGTAGTTTATGATGAAATTGTTTGCATATGATCCCTGAGATCTAAAAATTTTACTACTTGGTCACCTTGTGGTATGATTAAGTTGATGTGCAATCCTTTTCACCTTCATTTCCTCTATAAGGTGCATATTTTAAAATAAGTCCAATTTGACACCAGTGATCTCGGTGGACTTATCTAGCATTATATTTCTCCTCAATCTACGTTTCAAGACATGTAACTCGGCCCATCAACTTAAATTTAACTTTTATGAATGTTTTTAATCTTGACTTTATCATGAAATGATTACATTTTGTTTTTCATTTTAGTTTTTATTTTCATTTACATTTTAGGCAAGTATACATGAAGTTACACTGACTTTTAAGCCCTATTTTGCTCAAGACACAAAAAAGATACCAAACCAGCTTCCCACTTTGTTTACAATCGTGTGGCTATGAAGTTAGATTAATGTGCAATTTTTACACACACTCAAATGCAAACACTGTCTGTTAACTGCCTACAACAGTGGCATGCTTGTTCTCTTTTTCTCTTGAACCATCTTGACACTCCCCGATTCCTATGTCTAGGGGATAGCGAGATGGCCACGTGCTGGCCAACATCCGAGGGTGACGCAAGCCATTTAATGAATGCATATGCCAAGAACATATGAAACATGCATATAAATTTCGCGCAACTACGCATATAATATTCAAAATACAACATTTCCGAAATATAAGAATATTCAACTGCCAACAATGAATTAGTGACAATGCATGACATGTTCAGAATACTACTAAAACAAATTACAAGCAGAAGGTAGTACAGAAGTGCCATTACAAGTGATGTCAAACATAGAGGAGATGACACAAGGATCACTGGTAAGAGAAGTCCTCGTAGCTCGGTCCGTAAGCCTCGTTTCTATGTCCTGAGGGGGTGCAAAACAAACATGAGTGGACCAAGTTGATATATAAGTAGTATGAACATAAATATTCCACAATGTACTAACCCCCCAAATTTTATGAAAACTAGTAGCATATTAAGTGATAGGTTTTCCAAAAACCCTAACATGCCATAAAACCTTTCATAAAACATATATCATATTTGATGTACTAAATAGTGGTATCAATATCGCCCGAAGCCAGGAGATACGCCTATAGGCAGAACATACACCCGTAGGCAGAACATACGCTCGTAGGCAAGGCAGGACATATGCCTATAAGTAGAACATACACCCGTAGGCAGAACATACGCTCGTAGGTATAACATCGCCCGTAAGCAGGACAATGACCACTAGATAAGCAAAAAAACATTAAATATATACTTTCCAACATAAGTACATATATCTTAAGGAGCTCAATAGCTCAAACAACATATCATAAAACATGTTTTAAATAGTATATAGTCATCAATCATTTATACTACAAAGAACGGTAAAAACGATAAGGTATAATGTTCCAAAATATTCTCAATAAAGCATAATATCTCAAATTACTCATAAACATTTCATAAAACGTAACCATTAAATCATGCTTTTCATGTATGCATTTCTAATAATAAAATATGCATTTTAGAAGGGGTCAACTAACAGATACTTCACCGTCGAAGAGCCATGCAAACTAGCGAAGACGGAAACACCGCTAACGAAATGCACCTAAGCACATAAAGGGTCCAATTTATAAAACTTTTATTCAAATGATTGAATTTCAGGAAACAGATGTTATAAACGGATTTAGGACGTCGAAAAACATAAGGGGAAACCTTGGTTTCTCCCACACGTCGTCGCATGGTGGCGGCTCCAACGGCCATGCGCCGAAATGGGTCGCTGGGGTCGCCGTAGGCGTAGACGTGTATGCACCACGTGCCGGCCATTGCTTGCCCTCACGCGCTCCGACACACAGGCCTACACACTAACCACGCGCAGCCAAGGGTTTTAGGATCCGACCGGGTTGGGCCGAATCCGGGTTAGATTTGGGCTCGAGTCCTCAACTTGAGCTAATTAGGCCTAGTCTTCACAACTGGGTCGGATTCTAAGACCCAGAGGCCTGGGCTTAAAGAAACTGGGCCGCAAGGTTGAGCCTAGGTTTATTGGGCTGAAGGCCCATGTCAACTTGGCTCGAAGGCTTCATTTT